TATTGAATTTAAATTTTTTAATATATAGATCAAGTCTACAAATTTTTAAAAAATTTAAAAATTATTTAATACTTTGTTTCATTAATTAATTTAAATCAATGTATAAAATACTTTTATGATTATCTATCAAACATGCTATTTAGGTTTTGATTTTTGTGAGTTTTGATTTTTGTATTTTGTAGTTAGTTTATATTAAGTTTATTGCTTTAAATATTCATTTTATATTTGGATCTATTAGATGTAGTTTGAAGAACTTCTTATATAATGAACATTTAAGTGGTTAAGTTTTGATATCTAACATGGATAGGTCTCATAATGCAGCAAATAGAAGATAAAACAAAAGAATAAAAACAAACAATTCATTAGTAAACCTTGTTAGAAGTATAAATTCACTTGATTTTGAATTTTTCTCTTTTTGGTATTGAAATTTATTTTTAAGCTCCTAAAAATAATATCATCCGAATATTAACTAAATTAGTCTAAGTGCATATATGATTTAGGTACTAATTTATTGTGTTCATTCATAGTATTATGGAATAGGATTGCTAACTGAATAAAAAAAATACATGATAAAGCTAAAACTTTAAATTTTGATAAAGTGTTACTTCGATGGTTTGTTAAATGCATGAATAACATTCATATAATAAACTAGACAACTTTCTTATAATACAGATAAATATGTTAACCACAAAATTAGCACTTAAAATTGTGTTAGAAATAATAATTTAGCACTAGACAATACCATAAATATAAATAAAATATTATCATTGTTGACTTTTAATAAGCATATCATAAACCAATATTAGGAATATCTCAAACAATGCATATTCAAAAGTCTAAAGGACAACTTATATTAAAGATAAGTTGGATTTTAGTTTTATGACTACAAATTCAATTATTAATCCTCTTTAAAAATGTAGTATAATTTTTTTTATTTTACTATTATGGTTGAAAAATCATATAAGACAAATGAGTAATTTTATACAAGTTTTATGATATTGTACATACCAAGTATTTTATAACTATTAAAGGTTTTAAGGATAAGTTATATTAAAGATAAGTTGATTCAAATTTAAAATTAATTATCAATCTTGTTGAAAAATTATCGATGAAACTAAAACTTAGAGGTGTTTGATATACAACAAAAAATTTTATTCTTGGAAATCATGATTTATATATGAGAATTATAAATCCTAATCATCATGCTTCCTAGAAATCATAAAAATTAGGGTTATGGGAATATTTTTAAATATTACCTAAAAATCAAATATTTTTATCACATTCAATAAGAAAATAAAAATAACATGACATTTTTATTGTATTAAATTTTTTATGTTTACTTGGAAAATTTAGTTTCTCACGCCCCTATGAGAATAATTTAATGAGAAACCTATGTAAAAATCATTCTTAAGAATGTTTCTTTAAAATGTTATTTTTTAAATAATAAAATAAACACAAAAAACTAACATTCTTAACATAAATTTATGTACCAAATGCCCCCTAAGAATTCTATAAGAAAAAAAAAACTCAAACACTCTTTTCTTTCATTTTATTTACAAGATAGTCATAAAATAATTAAATTCTTTCATCATTTGATATTAAAATCTATAAAATCATTTAAATTTAACTTTTTTAAAAATATAAACATAATGTCTTTTTAAATAATAAATATGATTGTATAATCAAATATATGTTCTATGACACATTAAACTTTAAATATAATAAATTAATAAAAAAATATATTTATAATACAATTACAAATGATTGATTTTTTTTTTATCATTTCACAACGTGTCTTTAAAAAATATTAAAATTTTAAACGTTATTTTCTTATATAATATTATAAATATTTCTAATAAAAAAATATGTGATATTATAATCAAATATATTTTATATGCTTGAATGTTCTCATTTTCTTTATAATTTTAAAGAACTTAAACAACTAATTATATTGATTAAAGTATAAAATTTTAGTTTTATAAATAAATGTATTTTAAATATGTGTAAAAATGAAAGAAAGACGTGGACTTGTCTTACGTTCCAAAATCTAAAGCTTATACTTATTTACTAAATTCAATAATCAGTTCTATCTATATTTATATCTATATACAACATTAGTTATTTATAAACTAACGTTTCAATTTTTTTTTCTTCACATTTGACTTTCATTTACACTTCATATCTCTAATCTTAGTATATTTGTTCTAAGTTATTGAAATTTTGGTTGTAATTTGATTTTTAGTTCTCTAAAATGTTGTTCTTTTGTCTTTAAATATGTTTTCTGGTACAATAGAATTTCTAAGTTCTTGAATTATTATTTGTTGTATTTAATTATGTATTAATCATTATATATAATAACACTTTAACAAATTCAAGCACACTACTTATCTGTCATGTAATTTTACATAAATGATTTGTCTTATTTATAGTATGAATATGTTGTTAAAGTGTGTATGTCTAAAAAGAAAAAAGTGTTCAATTGAAAATCCAACTATTATGTATAACTATTTTATTTTCCTTATTGTTTGATATATTTTTATTGTTTAATCTTTAAAATAGTTAATTGAAGATATTATTCATATTAGTATAATTTTTATTTTGTGGACAAACTTCTACAACTAATTTTTCTAACTGCATGGAGTATGATATTTATATTTTGTGTGATATTATATATTTTATAATTAAATATTTTTTATTAGAAGTAGAATGACCAATTGATAATTCATGAAATTTAGTATGATATTTATATTTTGTATGATATTATATATTTTTTAATTAAATATTTTTTATTAGAAATAGAATGACCATTTGATAATTCATAAATATGAATTTCATGTCTAATATAAAGTTTTATATTGTATTTGTTCCTTTGTACACATTTGCATGTTATTGTTTTATTTTCATTTGATGTAGAAATATTTAAACAATAAAATTTTTCGGTTACTTACTAGCTTATATATAAATTAGAATAATTATTTTAAATAAAAAAAATAGATTTTTCAATGAGGGAGATTTAAGCTATTTGTTTTTTTTTTCAACAATAGTGTTTTTAGAAAAAAATTTAACTTCCTATTTAATTTAATCTATAATTTTTATTTTTATTTTTAAACTAGTATTTTAACATGTGTATTTCATAGGTTCAATATTTATTATATATAACAAAATTTTATAATAATTTATATAGACAAGTAAATACTATATTTGACTATATAAATTATACTTGATTTTTTAAAATAAATATTTTGAAATATATAAATTATTTTATATTTATGATAAGTAATTCAAATTACAATGTAAAATTACTTTTAATTATTGATGATTTTTTACAAGAATATTATTGATAATTTTTATAAAAATATTAAATTTAATTTATAAATAAAAAATTTAATTAAAAAAATATCTAAAAATACTTCGGTGGAAAAATAACTCCTAAAAATTCTCTTGGACAAGATAATTTCCACTTTAAAAAGGTTGGATAAATAAAAAATTGGATTAGATAAAAAAAATTCTACAAACGCTCCTATTGAATAATGACTGTAAAAATGATCTCATATAAAATAATTGTTCATATTTAATATATAGAAGTTAATTAAGTTTTAATATTTTTAAAATAAATAGAAATAGTATTGAAATATAAATTATTTATATATATAATCCATGATATTTATTTATTATATATAATATAATTTATATATTTAAAATAATTTATCATAAATTTTAGTTACCCTAAACCCCACGATTATAATTCTATTATAAGAATAAAAATATTCTATTATTGTGTGAATGTGTGTATTTCTCATTTCATCGCTTAAAATATTGTGATTTATATTGCAATATTAAATGAGTTTCTCAATTTTGTGTAAATTCTGTAATTTGTCTATCAATTTTTCACATTTTAATTTTTAAATTATATATATATATATATATATATTTTCTATATATTATCTTTTATTTTTACAATGAATACAACTAAAAAAAATTGGTATCTAGTGTGAAAATGTTTTAAGGAATTTCTATTCAACAGGATAATTCTTAGACTTTCTGTGAAGTTCTTATCTAATTCGATTTTAATTTATTATAATTATTTATAAATTAAATTTTAATATTTAAGAAAAAAGTTTTCAATAAATAAAAATAATTTTAGATTATAATATAAATTATCTATCACAAATTTAAAATACAAATTATATGTTTAAAAATATCTATTCATATATTTTAAATATGATTTATATATTTATATATAACATTTATTTGTATATACAATTTATCATAAATTTTAGTAATAAAAGTTTAACAAGTTAAAATACTAGCTAGTTATAAAAATACAAATGCAGAATAACAAAAACGTGCACCCAATTTTATATATTCTTGATGTTTAATTTTAATATAAATAAATGAATTAATTACGATGGTTTGAGATGCAAAGAGAGAGTATCTTGAAGAGCAAGGATGGTGGAGGCTTGAGGTTTTAGAGCTTAGTCTTGAATATCTTTGCGTTCACTAGAATTTGGCAACAATGAGCAAAGAGTTCTTCGTAAACGCCCAAATGTTGAGGTCTTTTTTCATAGTTATTTTGTCCCGACAACGTATGGCTGCTTCCCGTAGAAGACGAAGCTGAATTAGTTGTTGAGAATGAGATGAGGAAAGCACGTTTCCATCGGTTATTCTATGAAAATCTATACCGTTTAAATTCGATACAATTTATCAGAGTTTAAAGTTCTACATCCAGCAAACAGAACATTAATATCAGCTTAATAATAAGAGAATTAAAATAATATATACAAAATTCTAAATTCAAATTTTAGTGTCATTATTATATTATATTATATTATATTTATGATGGATAAAAAATAATCCAACAAACTAAAAACCCTTTGCTACGGTGGGATACATTCTTTACATCCAATCATAATGCCTTTTAAATAATCAAAATTTTCAACTCATCCAATGCATTAATATGGTTTGATTTAAGAACCGACAAATCCCCCACCAATAAGTCCTTCAAAAATTACAATATCATTACCCCTTCAAAGAAATTTATAAAATTAAAAAAAAATAATAAATAAAAAGCTAATTTGGCAAGTTTCCTGTTCACCAATTAGCAAATGTGTTCCAAGTGCCTCTAATTATTATTATTCTAGGTAATAATAATTGCTTCAAATACTATGGTAAAGAACATTTTGTTCGATTAGTCACCATGTCAAATACAATTTAGTCACCAAGAAAATTAAACGTCAATACTAGGCAGACGTAAAAACTATACAAACAATGAACAGTCTTATTCTACATCCTAAGTTAGTGGAATTAAATGATAATAAAACCAGCACAGCAAAAAGCATAGGCTCCTGCTCCTGATGCCACGTAGATACAACACTCAATCCCTCGGAAAATACAGTACCAAGGCCTTCATCGTTCTAGTCTGCCGCTTGAAGACTTCCGTTCAAGCATCCGTATCTTCTCAAGAAGCTCTTCGATAGTATTTGATGCCTCCTACATGACAAAGACAAACGTCGTGAGGGGAAATACTATGATTGCAATTTATGTTGGTCGATTAAAATAAGAGAGAATGGGGCGGGGAGCAGTGCATTAGGTTAGAGAGTAAAACCTGCAACTTCTTTCTCAAACTTTTCTCTTCAGAATCACGTCTATCCCTCTCTTCAGAGAATACATCAATCAGAGTTTCTTGATCATTGTTCAACTCTTCAATTCTTTTTTCAGCATCATTGAGCTGATGAAGAAAAGAAATAAGAAATATGCAACTTAGATTAAACAAGGACAAGTATCACATTTAATGTCCTCAAATTTTGATCAATTGAATCTACATCTCTTTTTCTCCCATTCATTTCAGTCATGATCTAGACACAAAATGTGCAAAAGACATAATCCTGAAGTGTCGAGAAATGCCATGAATGGTAAAGTAGATTTATGTGGGGATAAACTTCAAACTGAGATCATATCATACTATGAATAGCACAATTTAATTATCAGATCAGATATATAGTACAGAGTCACAAATATATTGGGAGAAATGTAAATCATAAGAATCAAATTAAGTGAATGAAAGATGTTTCTCAAGCTCAAAGGAAAATATTAGCATACAATCACAAGGTTAGAAACACTGTATAATAAACCTAGAGTACTCCATAGCAAAGTAAATCTCCAATTCAAATACTAGAAGCGAAAACTCAATTTTACAAAATAATCAGAAATTTTGTTATGATACCAATTTCATGTTTGAAACAATCCAAGAATGCTCCTCCAACTCGAACAAACAAATACTTTCTAAATATAGCTAGTTCAACATCATAAAATAACCAAAGCTTTTAAAAGTTTATATAAAGAGACAGAATCATATTTCGTATATCATCAAGGTAACATTGTACAAGGCAATCCCTAGACTCCAACAATAACAATAATGGGATAACAGGTGCCTGCTATTCCATTCTGGGATAGAGGCCGCAAAATTAAACCAAGACACTGCAGTCTAGTCATAGCAGTTAGAAGCCGTTGCGGTGCAATAGAAGCACTATTTGCTGCTATTGTCAACTATGGTTGACAGATTGACGGTCATTCTGTAACGAACTAATAATGAATGCAATGATGAATATAATTGCCATGTTAGAAGCGGCTATTTATAATTAAATATGCATCTTTGTCTATTAGTGTTATAGGGTGTAGGGGAAGGGCCTTTTAGTTAAGACAGAGATTGCTTCTCTACGGACTTTATGGCTCCAGGACAGCAAACTGTGGCTGCATTGTGTGGATTTTGTTTGATTTAATAATACTATTAACCAATTTATCAATTAGGGTACCATCATTCAAATATCAGGGAGCTGCTACAAGATTTCTTAAGGGTGGCAGGGGTTGGCATGATCAGGAGCACCAATCTCTAACTACGCCGAAGGTAGACATAGTCTGGGAATTGATAAAAACAGTAATTCAGATTCGGTCAATTGCATAATTAACCAAAATGACTGCTTCTGTCACCTGATGGGTGAACAGAGGAATTTTGGTGAAATGTCGAGATTTGCAATATTTGTTAACATGAATTAATGGATATGAAAAGCAAGGGCCTATGTTTAAGGTGTGGAGAGAAATTCCAACCTTTCACCAATGCAAGGAGAAACAATTAAGCTAATTATTTCTGGAAGATAACTAAGCCCTAAATGAAGAGTGAGAAGTAATTGCTATTAAAATAGACAACGATAAGGAGGAAAAATCAATTATGATAGTTAGGAGCAGTTATGATAGTTATTATGTAACAGTGGATCTAATGGTGAACATAATAATTGTCATGTTGATATTGGTAATTGTAAGTTGAAGATTTAGGAGCAATTATGTATTTCAGAAGTAAATAAATAATAATTGGCAAGTTGGCAGTCTTGGGTAGAAAGTTGGGAGCAGTTATAAATTATAATATATAATATGTGACGGGTGGTAGGAATAGGGGAAGAGGTGGGGTATTATCCTCTAGTAGTTTTGATACATAACACTTCAGAAGTGTTCTTGGCAGGATATACCCCAGATAAACCTGGAGTACTCCTCGACGGCAAAGTGCTTCTCTAACTCAACTATGACTCTAAGATGCTCTTTGAAAATCGGGAATTCAATATCAGAGAATAAAAGCCTACCAAAAACAACTGATCTAATCAAAACAATAAGCAAGCTAAACTAACTCTATCCTAATATAACAATTAATGAAGATAAAATCGCTAAGACAAATTCACCAAGTAACCAAAAAAAAATCTAACAAAATAAAAAACCTTCATAACAAAATAATATAAAATAAAATAAGTACTTACAGGGTTGAAATCCTAAACAAAATACTGTAAAGTGTATAAAGAACATGGTCCAAACCTGAGTTTCGAGAGATTTACACCTGTCTTTCTCGACTTGCAGAGCCTGCAACACGTCCCCTAAAATTTCTTCCTCCTTCCTCTGCAATCTATAACCAAAATCATAGAAAACGAAAAGGATAAGGCTCTATGAATTGTGTTCACTGAAGAAAAGCAAGATATGCAGTAAAATTTATAAAATTACAATATACCTTTCCTTCAATTCACGATTCTCTTTTTTCAATTGCTCTAGAGTCAGTAAATCATTGCCAGATAGTGGTTGCTCACCATCATCTACATCTTTTCCCTGCAGCACAATTTTCAACATTTTTTAGGAGCCATTTGCAAATAACAAACAATTTCAAGTTAAAAAGCGTTTTACACTCCAGTCATCTTCACCACAACACAGATTTTAGAAGCAATTTTAATCAATTAATTCTACCAAAAGTAATTTCTGGGACGTCCATCCCTAGTGAACAAATTTTAATAATCATCAACACCTTGAATTATTCATTATGCTTATTGTTTGATGAATTCCTTGTAAGAGAATAATAAATATAAAAAAAAAAAATTCTGCCTAACACTTAATAGAATCGTAATAACCTGCTACTAGTTATAACCCAGTCATACAATATTTAAATCTAGTAATCTTCTATTCTCGATGCTTAATGCTCAAAAATTATTAAAGACCATAGCTTTCACTAGACAGTTGGCACCTATGACCTCCCTTGCCCCCTCAAAAATAAGGCCAGATCCTTGCTGGTTTGGATGTTTACATATTCCTCCTTTCTTTTTTTTTTAAATCTTTCTTCATACCTTTCTACTGATAAAAGGTAGCACATTCATTGTATGAAATAATAAATTTCCAATTCAACCCTTTTTAGGCCTTACATATTACTCTTTCTGGTCTTTTTGTAAGAATCAAATTAGAAGCTTGGTTTGGTCCTTTTCATAAGAATCAATCTAGAATTTTGCATTAATTATTTTTTACAAAAATACCCTCAATCATGAATCTTTTTTTCTATGTTCAACAAATAGTAGGTAAGATAAATTAATGTCTTGCACTCTTTAGAAGTATAACTTTGCCTTATATGGAGAGAGTTATTTTTATCCATGGTGATAATCCGCAGAGTGTCTCAAAACTAATAAAAAAGGACTAATTTGAGTTTGCGGAGCATAACTTAACATTATTTTGCCCCTTCACATTCACAGCTAATAAAACTCAAGACTTTAAATATAGTAATAATGAGAGAGATTAAAAGAATTAAATATTTGAAAAAAGAACAAGAATGTCTATTAACATCAAGGGAAATTTTTAAAAGACCACATAAATTTAAGATAAATTTAATGCTACTAACTAAATTAACTAATTTCCTCAGTTCTAATGAAATAGTTAATTGAGTCTTATAAAAAGTATTGGACGGATCAACAATAATTCAAGTTCCAATGCCTGGACATATAATAGCAGAAAAAATAGAATGAGAACAAAGTAAAATAAAGATGATATGCACTACCTTTAGTTTGGATCCCCGTGTGTACTGCGAGGCTTTTCCAATTGATGTATCTTGAGAACATCCATTCTCATTTTCAAATGATTTTTCAGCAATATATTTCGTTTGAGATTTTTTCATAGGCATGCCATTATCACTGACATCATCTTCAGATGATGATTGTTCAGATGAACTTTGTATTCTACGTTTAGGAGAGACTGAAATTTGACCATTGGTATATGCACTATATTTTTCTGTTTGTTTTTGTATTCGTTTCTGATTTGACTGTGAATACAATTTGTCTGATGTCAACTGTGTCGCCTTTCCTTCCATGGTAGGAAATTTCCTTTTTGATTGTGATAATTCTGGAACCAAATCAGGAGATGTCTCTGCAAAATAAGATGCATTTGTAGAATATCATAAGGTCACCCACAATAAGATTTCACTTAATGAGCAAGCACATTGTGTATCACACTACAACAGCAAGGCAGACATCATACCTTTATCAGCAGAATCTCTGATTAGTATTTTACTTCGATTGGAAGCATAACCAATTTTATGGCAGTTAGTGCTCCTAAATAAAATAGACAATAACAAATAAGTAAAACATAAATAATTCATAGTACACAAGCCATTATCGTGAATAGTTCAATCGAGAATAAAGAATCACCAGTATTTTTTCTGCATTTGTATCAATTTAGACTCCAGTCTTGATAAAACTAAAGTACGCTCAAAGCCTTGCTTATCATGGGCAGGTTCAACAAAATTGGCTTCCAACACTCCTGTGAAGAGGAATGAACCTTAAATCAATACGATACATTTGATAAAAGGACCTCAGAACTCAAAGAACACAGCAAAAGGTTCCACCTATGACCCCACGCCCTCCACTTCCAGCTGGATTCCAGATCCTCCAGAATGGCTGACAATCAAGAAAACAACCTATAAGAATTATGACAATATTTGGACCCCAGCAAACAAACAGCACCAACTCCCCCAAGTGGGAAAGTGCATATTGATTGTTTTATCATTAGAACAACTTATGAACTTAATCCCCTCAAACTAGGCTTCCAAGTTGTTCAAAGAAAGTTTTGATTGTTGGAAAGGATATCTAGAGTTCTTAACATGATATGCAAGTTACCCAAACAATAATGTTAATTTAATTCAAAAGAACTCATTATAAGAAGGCTAATTTGAGGAGTTATAAGGTGGTGTGGGGGGAGGCACAAAAGGTTGGAGATAAGACGGGAGCAGGTTCAAATCTTCCCAGCTAACATAACTCACTAATTATTAACATTTACCAATCAAAAATAAATAAATAAATAAAAACAAGGCCAAGTTAAAAACAGTTTGAACGAAGCAAGACTATTTTCAGAACAATACACAACAAACAGCTGATTGATAAACCTTAAAAGCCCAGGAGATAAATTGCAAATTTTCTCATTTCTGTAAGAGAACACTATTTCTTGACTACTGTCATCTGTCACTTTTCCTAGTTTACTGATACAAGTGGTTATTCAGTTAGCAGGCAGTTATAACTGCCTCCGTTTAGTTTGTCCAGATTCGTAAGCTATATATAGCACTTGTAACAGAACTGGGCTCACTTACATGTAACATCAGAGCCAATACATTCTTTTGCCTCTTAAATTCTCTAATAATTACTAAGAATTAAATAAGGAAAACAAAAGGATGACGTTAAGCAATTAATACCAATTATAATGATCCTATTGATTGGTATTGTGTTTTTAGGTAACATACGACACTATTGTGTTTTTAGCTAACATACGACAACAAAAATTATGTCAGTACATTAATTTTTTAGTTACTGTCAAATGACCAACTGAAGTCTTGCATATTAAAATCAACAAGCCCAGGTTAACAACTGAAGAAGTTATTCTTCATTATCTCAAAAAGCAATTGGACCACAACTTTTGAAGAGAGAGGGGGATAAACTTCACATGCGAGATAATGATGTTTATCATGATTTGTTAGTCATAACAAACCCTACCTTAATGAGTCGATTCTTATGATAAACATTAAATCCTGAGACATCGACGTGGTGAACTGCGTCCTTGACAAATCCAATAGTAACAACAGCAATCATCTGTCACAAGATATAGATGAAATCATATTGCTGCACAAGTTGGGAATATCAAACTCAATTTAATAGACATATTACATTTGAATCCTTTATAAGCCCATCAGCTGCAGATTGTGGCCGGTAGGTCACCTCCTGAGACATCATCATATCATTCACTATGTTGTGATGCAAAATATCTTTCCCACGAAGAATAATTCGGAAGCCAACAGGAAGTCTCAGATATAAAATTGAGGCATAACTCTGGGAGTGGGTAGACAACAAAAATAATGAGAAGCATGACAATACACACAGATCATAAATCAGATACATGCCTATACTAAATATAGAGTAGAACCAAATTACATACAAAATATTACATTGCATATTGCACATACTACATACACGGTGGGGCAGGAATACTACACAAGAAAACTAAATATGCTGTTTTTTCTACACAAATATTATTAGTAGATAACAATCATCTTGATTTACCCTTAGTGAATGTCGATAGGTCAAGAAGTGTCTAGAGTTGGGAAACTCTTTAGCCATCTGTATGTTTTTCTCATCTCGATTTACACCTCTTATTTGGATATCCTGACACAAGCCATAATGCATCAAAATTTGTATGAAATTTGCTTATAAAAATAAATAACTTCATTATCAGCATGAATGACAAGTTTCAGATATCAGGCATACATGTGGGTCTGCATCGAAATCAAGTTCCAGCTGACCTTGATCATCCTCCCAAAGATTGTATATAATTACTCGTGTACCATGATCTTTCACCAAGTTGAACTAAAAATTTAAGAGTAAGAGTAAAATAATATCTGTTTAGAATCAATATACGCAGAAAACCATGAATCCTGGAATTAGGCAATTAGCACCGAGAAGAGCATACATCAGAAAAGAAAAAGATCATATTAATTACTCCTTTCCCTCCAAATAACAAGGGATTACCTGACGAAGAAGATCAGCCTCATCAGAAAATGGTGACCACTGCACTATTGTTTCAACATTTTTATTCCAATCATCCAGAGAAGTCCGTATTATCTTATTCCATTCCTGTCCTCTTCTTTCATAGTCCAGCTTTAGTTTCAGAATAAACAATAGTCAGATGCATAATTAAAAAACGTATTCAAATAAATAATCAAATTAAATAGAAAACACCTACTCATCTCTAAATGCCTATTAAAAATAATACATCCAATCCACAAACATCCCCACCCCATTCCATTCTTTGCAATCAATGAAATGTTTTCGTGACAGTTGCACCTCACAACAGAAAATCAGATACTTAATTATTGCTAATGTGTGCCCATAATGATCAAGATGATCAGATACCAAGACCATGGGAATTCAGCTATCTTCAAGCAGATAAATAAGAAAGCCCTATCATTATTCCAATATATGGTATAAACCCCTATTAAAGAAGACTACCTCCAGTCCTTGTTATAGGACCCAAATTGGTTTGGTCCTTTTTATATGACCAAATCTATTATGTATCAAGTATTAATTTTTCCTTTACAAAAATACCCTTATTAAAAGCATTAATTGAATTCAACTAGTGAAATTCATTTAATTTATGTATCTTGAAATACAAATAGTAGTTCATTTTTTTGTTGTTGGAATGTAAAAACTTTGGAAACATATATTAAGTGTCTCATTAATTTAAGGGTAGTTTTGGAAAGTAATAAATATTCAAGACATTTTTATTAATCTTAACCCAAAAAGCGAACTTTTCTTAATATTGGTGAACTACTTATTTGGGTCCTATAATAAGGACCAGAGGTAGTACCACAAAAGAGTGAAAGACAAAGTTCATTAATTGACTTTTGAGAGGCAAGACCTCTTGTGGCTCATGGACATATAGCGAATATACAAGGAAAGATTCAATATAAATATTTTAGTCCCATTCCTAATAAAAATAACATACACTTAAAAAAGTAAAATTTATAAGTAAAGAAAACAAATTACCATGGGTACTACAATGTCTTCCTTCCCTGTACTCCTCAAAAATGTGTATGACAGCAACCCTATGCTTTGTGTAGAGCTAATAAAACATCCAAATCATCCCATCAGTTACAGAAAAAACATTTTATATTTAATAAAGCATGCCATGAAAAACAAATATATATATATATATATGTATATATATATATGTATATATATATATGTATATATATATATGTATATGAATACAGGAAGTAGACATGGATCCAAGACAAATTCTATCAAGACTGTGATAGAACCCAAGATTCAAGAGAAATTAAAATTGTATTATTAATAGAAAAAGGAAAGAAATATTACAAGAGAGACCCCCTGTAATCCCAGAGCAAAGCTCCTCAGAGAAGAGATACTTCTCTCCCTGCCCAAATGTTTCTAACAAACAGATATTGAAAATCCCATCACACTCATTCCCCCTCTCCTTATAAGCACTCGCATAACCTAACTAATTGCCACGTCAGCCACATTTCTCTACAACTTTCCTCTAGCCCTCCTCTTCAGCACAATTGTTGGGCTTAGACCCAAACCCAGTGTCCTAACATACTGACTGCTATTACGGACAATTCTACAATTACTGATTGTGCCAGTAATAGACCAACCAGGCAACCTAAAATGCTAAATGTACATTTATTTCTCTGAAACAAAACCATGGAAATCCAGCAAACAAGAAACATTTCAGAAGGGTGAATTTTAGGATGCACATTTTATGCAATCATACTCCTCAGGATCTCACAATTACAGATATTTTATCAACCGAAATTCACAACTGACTAGAAGATGAACAGCTCATTTTACTTTTAATAAGATAAATGAACAATTACCTGATGAAATTTATGAACAAAATACTATCACATAACTGCAATAGCAAGATAACATTACACTCCACAGTTATTAGTAAATTGGGTAAATACTACACCATTGTGTATGCAAACATGCATCACAAACCTAACACATACTAAACCATAACATGACTGCCTTGAGTACTTTAAGATACAACAAATACTATAGCAAAAAATTCAGAATTCAATTATCCTTATATGCAGAACACATTTCGAACCAGGAAAGAAAAATGAATTAAGCAATAAGAAAGTCAAACCTTTTCCCATCTTTCCCAGGATATCGGGAAAATACAATTACATCAGCCCCAAGTCTCATGGTACTTGTTTTAAAGCCATTTCCATCTATCACATGAACACAAAAAATCAGAATGTTCTCTTGAATGAAATACTCAAGATTATATTCTCCCCTAGGCTAAAGTTTTACATTGTCCAATTGTATTTGCCAATTTGCTTTTCACGGAATACCCCAGCGACATGCATTGGCGCATTTTATCAGGATCCATCCCACCACCATTATCTGGAATAAAAATTAAAAATCCAACATTTTAGATTTTGAAAACAGTAAAAAATAAATAAATAAATAAATAAAAAGTGGTAAAAAGAAGAGAGAGCATGTAACACTTCTCTATAAGGACTCTACTAATAAAACATTCCAAAATCATATTTCGAAACCTTTTCCACATATTTTTGTCATGTCAAATAATAAATGTTGCTTCTCAACAGAGATAGCAAAATGGGTTCAACCCACTTGATTGACCCATTTAATGGGTGGATTGAATTGGGATTTTTAAACCATGCTCAACAGTTTCAACTCAACTTGTTTTTTGGTGGGTTGAATTGGGTCAACTCATTGGGATGATTTCATTTAAATTTTTCTTGTTTTTATAGAAACCCAGCATGACTTATTTGTGGTTTTGATCTTTTTAGGATGTAAATGGGTTACATTGGGTTGAGTTTAATTAAACATAATCGGATTAGGTATGGTCAAATTTGCATTTTCTTTTTTCAAGCGTCCTAACTCAACCCAATTGTAATCGGGTTGGTTAGTTGAAATATTAATGTATTCTAATTTTTTTAAAAAATAAAATAAAGTAAAAATAAATAAATACATAATTAGTTTAAGTTTTAATACATGTCCCAAACAATAACAACAAATAATAATTACAAATGATGTGACATGACACATGCCCCACACAACATTAACAAGAAAAATACAATAATATCTCCAACAAGCAATAATAAGTCACTAATATTTATTTGATTACATAATAAAAATTAACAAACTAAAATTGATGAAGTAAATATAAAATGAAATCATTCTTCTTTGATTATTAGATTATTAACCTGAGTCTTAACTCATGTATTATGTATGTCTATGATCCCATGTATTGTGTCTCACATTAGATAATTAATATTTTTATTATTATTATATTTAGGTGGGGTAGGGATGGGTTATAAATAAATACATAATTATAATTAGTAAATATATAATTATTTTAAGTTTTAATACATGTCCCAAACAATAATACAAATAATAATTACAAATGATATGTGACATGACACATGTCCCACACAACATTAACAAGAAAACTACAATAATATTCCAACAAGAAATAATAAGTCACTAATAATTATTTGAATTACATAATAAAAATCAACAAACTAAAATTGATGAAGTAAATATAAAATGAAATCATTCTTCTTTGATTATTAGATTATTAACTTGAGTCTTAACTGATGTATTATGTATGTCATTGATCCCATGTTTTATGTCTCATATTAGATAATTAATATTTTTATTATTATTAAATTTAGGTCGGGTAGGGTTGGGTTACATATCCCTTAACCCGATATCCAACCCAATTATAATCGAATAAACCAAAAGATGCTTGACCCAACCCAATGCAAGTTGATATCAACTTGTTTACACCCCTAATGAACATATTGGTGTTAATGAACTAAAATATTAATGTTTCTAGTTTTGACCTTTTAAGGTCATTGCTGTATAGTGTATTTCATGTTTCAAGTATTAGAATCTTTTTACAATCTAATTAGTAGTTATCAAGGTTGCATTAGGATATTTTTTTATTTGGTGGGTCAACTCATGATCATCCATTTTTTTTGGTTTAGTAAGAAGGTATAAACTTCTTCCCACTAGGTTGGCTTGTGTAAGAAAAATAACAACTTGTCCTAACAATGTTTGGTCTCCATGTCCAAACCGAAGCTCAAACCTAGTCTTGATTAATAAACACAAATGTAAAACCACTTGTCCTAACAACTTTTTGTCTCATGGGTCATCCTTTTATAATCCATTTATATTTTAATTTTTTAAAAATTATGGTGGGTCAACTTAACCCAGCCCATAAAAGTAAAACCACTCTCAAAACAGGTATAAGCCAACCCAAACTATTTTTTGATAGGTTGGATTGAGTTATCCCATTTTGTCACCCCTACTTCTCAATAATTAAATAAAAAAGTGCCGTGACTTTTATATCTTGGATATCAACTTAAAGAAATAAAACATATTATGGATGAAATAATGGTGGGATTAGATATTTAACGGAATAGGAATGTGTTTTCTAAATTACCAATCCAATTCCATCATGCACTTGCTTAAGAAAAGTTGGGTACCAGCAAACTTGAAGGTTTTATGCAAGAATTTCTGAACATATCATAAATATAAATTAAGACTTGTTTTTTTTCTTAAGAAAGTAAGCTAAGGGTCAAACTCAACCTTCTAAAACTAGCTTGTAAGATGAAGATTGTTCTCCACTTATATACACTAGCATAACTATCTCACTAGTTTATGTGGGATCACCAACATTTTCTTCATGGAGAAATAAAAGCCACATATTCAATGAAATCCTACCAGATATTCTTGCACACCGAAGCATGGTTAAAGTAGATCCTCTATTATTTTTATTACCAAAACCAATCATCATACTGATCAACCCAACCCAATCCAACGGGTTGCATTGGCTTGACCCGTCAACCCATTTAAAAAAATTTAAACCATACTCATTTTATGTGTCTTAATATTTCTTCAAATTTTATGATCATATAATTAAAAAAGAAAAAAAAAAGTTACAAAACTAGTAATGAATGAAATGTTCAATGGGTATGTACTCGATAAGTCCATCAACATCAATAAAATAAGTCAATCAACAACATTGGAATAAGTCTATCAACAACACTAAAATTATAAAATAAATACACAATACAATCACAAAACATCAATGCCAATAAGTAAAGGTCAAGGAGGAAAATGGATCAACCTGATGGGCCAACCCAACCCATCATTTAACCCATTAGGTTGGCAGGTTCTACAAGTTGTATTATTATGTGGGTTGGAGGGTTGAAAACTGTACCCCCGACATAATTTGTTTGGGCGGGATATGTGGGTTAACCCATTGGATTGAACCCACTTTGACACTCTTAATTCTAAATATGCTTCATTTTTTTCTTTCCATATATCTATTGTGTAACCATTTTATGAATGAAAATACCTTCAACCAGTAACATCCTGGTGCCATCTTTCTTATTTATAAGCATATCTACATTAGCATATGTGGCCCCATTACAAACCTGAAGTCAAATTCAAGAAGTAAGGCAGGGTAAAAACCATAAGTGGTGCTTTATTCAAAAAGATGTGAAGCAAGGCTTACCTCATCCAATGAATTGTCCAAAAGTTCCGCAAAAGCTGCAAAAATATAACATAACGGATCTAAGCATGCTAAATAATGAATAATCTCTAAACGATCAAGGGTAATGGAAACAAAAAATCATTTAATGTCACAAATAATGATTAACCATTAAACATTGGTACAAACATGCCCACTTTACCTCCAAGCGCCCACTTATGACTCGTAGCATTAGAGTGCAAAAACTTGGGGTGAACTCTGACATGATCCATACCCACTGCAGATTATAGAAGTTATATTAGCTTATGGTTGCATCGTAGACAACACAGGGCTAACTCAAAGAAACTCAGATTTGTGACAGCCATAAAAAATGCATGAAAGAACCAACCATAAGAATAGGGCAACAAAAATATTTATAACAATGAAGAACTTATTGAATTTATTTATTGCATAACAATGAAGGTTCAGTGAAGGTTGATTAAAGCATCATGTCAATACCAATGAATTACTATCAAACTTAACTAGAACATTAGAATGAAACATGATCAGCAAGATATTTATCAAGAGCATGTATTTGATACTGAATAGATACACAGAACTGTCACAAAAACATAGTAAGATAGCTGAAAGCATGATGGCCATATACTAAATAGTTTGAAATACAAATATGCAAATGCTTAAAAAAATTAAAGGCCTATTCATCATCAATAATCAAGACTCAGAGCATGTTTGGAAAGATTATATTTATACCCACCATTTCAACTGTATTTTAAAGAGAGAGAAAAAGCTATTTGCAAAAAAAAAAAAAAAAAAAAAATTCTATGTTTGGGA